TGTCCTTCTCCAAGGACCTCTCTCTCCTCACAACATGTCCAAAGTAAGTTAGACGGAGCCTCAGAATCCTTGCCTCCAAGGAGCCACCCGGTTTAACCCTTTCCAGGACAAATCTGTTTGTTTTCCTAGCAGTCCATGGTATTCTCAATACTCTTCTCCAGCACCACAGCTCAAAGGCATCAATTCTCCTTCTATCCTCCTTGGTCATTGTCCAACTCTCTGATGCATAACAGGTGATTGTGAAGACCATGGCCTGTATCAGACGCACCTTAGTCTCCAGAGAGACACCATTGCTCTTCAATACTTTGGAGAGGTCCTTAACAGCAGGCTTTCCCATGGCAATGTGCCTTTTAATTTCTTGGCTGCTGGTGCCAAGACTATTGATTGTGGAGCTAATCAAACTAAAGCTGTGTACAATCTCAATCTCTTCACCATCCATCCTGATGCTGCCAATTGGTCCAGTGGTGAGAATCTTTGTCTTCTTGACATTGAGCCTCAATCCATATTGTAGGCTGTAGTCCTTGACACTCTGCAGCAGGCGCTTCAGGTCCTCTTCAGTTTCAGCAAGCAGGGTTGTGTCATCCACATAACGCAGGTTGTTGATAAATCGTCCCCCAATCTTGACCCCACATTTCTCCTCATAGAGCCCAGCCTCCCGGATAATCTGTTCTGCATGTAGGTTGAAAAGTTATGGAGATAGGATGCATCCCTGGCGTACGCCCTTCCCAATTTTGAACCATGCAGTGTTTCCTTGCTCTGTTCTGACGACTGCCTCCTGGTCCAAGTATAGGTTTTGCATTAGAACGATCAAGTGTTCTAGGATTCCCATTCTTCTCAGAGTCAGCCATAGTTTGTTATGATCTACACAGTCAAATGCCTTTGCATAGTCAATGAAACACAGATAGACATTCCTCTGGTATTCCCTGCTTTCAGCCAAGATCTGTCTAACATTAGCTACAATATCCCTAGTACCACGACCCCTTCTAAACCCAGCCTGGACTTCTGGCAGTTCTCTGACTAGAAGAGGTTAATATTTGTTCCCATTCCAGATAAAGATGCTCCAAAAGATTGTGAAAATTATCACACAATATCATTAATGTTACATACAAGTGAAGTCTTGCTGTCAATAAATAAGAAAGGCCTGGAATAGTAGTAGTACATTGATGGGATGGCCAAAAATTCCAACTGTCAGTCAAGGGATATCTCGTTACTGATGTAATGAGAATCTTGGCTGAAATACCAGTGATTTTTTAAAAAAGATAAATTAAATTCTAAGTGACTCTCTGTGTGTCAGAGTAGAACTAACTGTGTTCCACAGGATCTTAATGGATGACTTTTCAGAAGTAGAGCTCCAAGTATTTATCCAAATCTCAAATTTCCAGCCCCCCCCTTTTTTTTTAAATTTTCACATCCAGCTATTTTTAAAATTTAATTTAAATGAGCAAGAGCCTATGCTGTTGAAGGAAGAAGTTCAAGCTGCTTTGAAGGAAATAGCAAAAAATAAGGCCCCCGGAATAGATGGTATACAAATTGACATATTTCAGCTAACAGAT